ACAATAAACCAATAGGAGAGCCACTGCAGTGTAGTGGAAAGAGTGTTTGATTAGGACTCAGGAGACCTGAGTTCAAATTCTCGCTCAGCTATGGAAACTCACTGGGAAGTGGTGCTGGTAAAAACACTCCTTAAATATCTCACTTATCTTGAAAACTCTACTAGAGTAACCATACCTTGGAGTTAATTTGATGGCACATGGCACGTACACTGTGGAAATGTGTAAGAAAATTCTAGCTAGTGCAATTCTTATTCTTATGCTTAACATTAACCATCAGTGGGCCAAATCAGATAATATTGTTTGTTTGATCCCTTGTACATTTAGTAGCAAGGAAGACTGTCCCTTACCTTTCCGTCTAACAACTCAATCCCTATCCTGCCGGCTCCATCCCTGGCCAATCTCACAAGGGTTAAGTTGGACCTAGTTAGCTTTTTGGGCTACAACAGCTCAAATCCCAATTCCATAGATAGAAAGATCCTCTTAGGGTCTGTATGATCTGAAACTAGATGAAAAAAGTGGATAGGTTACTTCAAAGGGGAAATTTCAGCTAGTCCGATTTAATGCAAGAGACACCTGCTGAAATTCCCTCCTCCATATAGCTATTAAAAAGGTAGAAGAACCTGGTCTTCTTTTGCATCTCATCACCTCATCCAAACCTATTTCCAAGCAAGGCTTGATCTCCCTGGACTCAATCGCTTGCAGCTGAATGTTGTTGCAGAGTGTTGGGATGGGCAGGTGTGCAGTAAAACGAGATATCCTTTCACTGTCAAAGCAAAGTGTGCTGCTTATATAAGGCCCCGTAGTCTTGAAGCACTGTCCGGGAAATTTACAGTTCAATTATGCAGGGTACACATTGCCCTCCCCCCTTGAGCTGGGTATTCAGTTTACCAACCTCGGAAGGATGGAAGACTGAGTCAACCTTGAGGATCGAACTCAGATCATAAGCAGAGTCTTCACTGCAGTACTGCGGTTTTACCATTGCACTACAAGGCTCTGTCACTATGCATAGTACATAGATATGTGCCCCCCAGACCAATGTGTATCAATGTACAGTATGTGGAAGCAAGAAGAAGGGGGACCAAAAAAGCAAACAAACCCTTAGTGACTTTGCAGGGGCAAGACACAACTTGCAGAAATGCAAGTTGTGTCAAGTTGAGACAGAGCGAGAAGGAAGCAGTAAATCCAGAGCCGGAAACAAGTTTGTTTACTAAATGAAGGGCTTTGCTTACTTTACGGATTGCAACACCATTTCTGTTGCATGCAAAAGACCACACTGGGAGAGAGAAGGAGAAAGGGGGGGAAATTGGACAGCAGAGCAACATCCCTTCATTTTCGAGGTGCGTGTGTGTGTGAGAGAGCGGGAGCTGTGCTGTGCACACTTCCTAGCGATTTTATTAACCGCCTTCCAGTCAATGTCTGCCCGTCTAAAAATTGCAGCTGTAATGAACCAAATTAAAAGTGTAATGGGTTGTGCCGTGCCATTAGCAGGAGTTCAGATTTTGTCTGCTGCTTTGAAGCACATCTGAGGGCACAGGTTCTGCCTTCTCCCTAGCAACCAGGTTTCCATAGCAACAGATGCAGGGGCCGCCAAGACAGAGAGATCCACATTTCCACGACTGCCGTATCCTTGCAAAAGTTGCACGAAGCCACTTGTCTTTGCATCCCCCACCACCCTGTCTCCAGCTTGGCATTATTCTTCGAAGCATGGACATGGGAACTGGTGGACTACAACTCCCACAATCGCATTGATGGTTGAGGGATTCTGGGAACAGTGATAAAAAAAAAGTCACATTTCCCAGCTTTGTTATTATTTGCTAACTTATTTATTATTATCTGCCTTTCAGTATAAACTAATCCTAAAGCAGAGGCATTGTACTGCTTCCAAACCATCGATGTGTCTCCTTAGGCACAGGGGCTGCTCCGGCATCTCCTCATTCTGAAGCAAGCCTGGACCAGTCAGCTATTCGTAGAGGGTGCTGTTTTCTAGAGCAGTGGTCCCCAACCTTCTCCGGCATCTCCTCATTCTGAAGCCAGTCTGGACCAGTCGGCTATTTGTAGAGGGTGCTGTTTTCTAGAGAGCTTCCTGGCCATGACAGCTGAGGGATTCTGGGAGTTGTGTTTTCCTTTATTAAACAGAACGATGCTCAGGGCCGCTGAGAGAGGACATCATCATCAGGACTTGCTAGCTAGACTGGCCTTTTTTTACTCCCTCTTCCTCCTCCTCAGTTGCTCCTCCTGTTTCTTTGCCCACCAGCCACCAGCAAGGTGTTGGGAGGGGGATCTATCACTTTGGCTCTCCCTTTGAAGTTCCATTGAAGCCAATTACCTTGTCTAGTTGTGACTTACTTTAGTAATGGCACTTATGGAGGAAGGCACTCAGCAAATCCCCACTGATTCTATGGGCCTACTGTAATGCCACTTCCTCCACTAAGCCAGTGGTTCTTAACCTTTGTTACTCAGGTGTTTTTGAACTGCAACTCCCAGAAACCTCAGCCAGCAGAGCTGATGGTGAAGGCTTCTGGGAGTTGCAGTCCAAAAACATCTGAGTAACAAAGGTTAAGAACCAGTGCACTAAGCAATAGGAGTTCACCCATTGTGTTCTCACTGTCACTGCTCCTAACCCACAAACCTTCCAAGCTCTGTGTTATCCTTGCTAGCAGCGCAGAGCATGCTCTCTGGTTCTCTCTAGTGGCCATTTTTGATATTGCATATGGCAAATATTTACAAAAATATGAAGACAAAACCAAACAATACCTCCATTGCTACTTAGAAGTGATAATAGAGTGGCATAAAACCTGAAAAAAAATCCCTGTAAAATGTCTCTGAAAATTAACTAGAAATTTTAGCCATATTGCAAAGGTAATGCAGTTACATGTTACATGAATTACATTGCTTGTTGTTGTTGATGCTCAAAAAGCACCTTGTCGCTGGTAATGACATTATTTGAAACAATTTACTTCCAAATTCTAAGACAGTGGCTCTGTCTTCAATAGCTGACCAACTGAGGAGTCTTACATTGATAACTGCCTGCATTAATACTGAATAATAACTCACAGCATGAGAGTGTGCTTATAGAGGTCGGGGCTTCCTTTACTAAGCAGTACAGTACTCCTATACCCAGAAGCAGACTCATTAGATTCATGTACAGTATTTGAGTAGACATGTTCCAGATTACATTGTCAAGGAAACGGTTCATTAAATTGTAAATAAGTACAATTTTCTAACTTTAAAAAGTGTCCTAGTCAGCATAAATCTTTTTTAATGCTAATTCTTCAGACACGGATGTTTCGAGAATGCACAAAACTAGACAGCAAGAGTATAAAAACCTCTCTTTTAATCTATCTTTACTCCTTAAATCAGATGTTATCCCCCCCTTTTTTTGGCTGTTTTTCTTAATACAATTGAGTTATTTGCTATATTCATGTGCATATACTGTAATTTGTAATTCACTGAGAAAGCAAGGAAAATATTAAATATTCTAACAAGTAAGGCTAGAGGTCAAACCTGTCCCCCCCACACACAGACACCTCACTCCATCACAATGCCAGGAGAGGTGTTCTAAACATGACCGCTTTAAGAAAAGGGGAAAGAGGTGGGCAGTGGGTTGGTCCTGGTTTGCTCCTTCTTGTCATTTATGACAACCAGCTGGGCAGCTGAGAATGGTAGGAGAGAGAAAGACGGAGGGAGCCCTTTCGCAATTTCCTTGCTACCCCTTTAATTCTAATGGGATGCGTGCTAACTTCATAGGTAAGGAAGCAGGTGTACAAACATGTACAGAGTAAGGAGGGGGTGGGTGGAGAGATTAGATTTCAAAGCCTCCTAGCCTGTCCTGGGAAAGAGGCAGGCATGTTTTGTGGGAACTCCTCGTCTGGCATTGTTATAAGGCACATAACACTCAGCCAGGTACCATTGCCAACGGTAGGGATTTTCCCAACATTTAATCTTTAAAAACTAGTTGCAGGGCTCAAAAAAAGCTACACCCTTGAATATGGAAGCCAGTCTCCTACGCCCACCTCTTCTGATGCTGAGTGGTAAGACTGCAGATATTCAATCCTGCTTCAAGGCACGGGTGATCTGGCGTTCTCCAGTTTCAGGGGCGAAAAAAATATATGCTAAAACAAGAGGAAAGTGCAAGGTAGATTCATCCATGTTTAAGGGTAACATGCAAACAGCAGTGGGTACAGAAGTAGCCAGAAACTGCTTTCAAGGCCACGGCTGGGACTTCCCCAGTTCCAGAGATTCTCAGAACATCTAAATGCAAAAGAGATAGCGGGAATAATGAACACTAGCATGTTTAAATTATGCCCAGTGCTTTGAATTATGAGGAAAAGGCACAAGAAGACATATCCATTCAGATTACTCCTTTTTTTCCTTTTTAAAAAAACTGTTCCTCTGGCATTGAAAACATGTTCTTGGGCTGAACCCTGCTCAAATTAAGCCCTGGATTTTCCCATACATGGAGGGAAGTATTAGACTGATAATTACAAGCGGAGATCTAGGGACAGACATGGACTTGAGCCAGAGGTATGACGTGTTTACTGTTGAGCACTTCAGAGCAGGGGGTAGCCATTACAAGAAGACAATAAGAGATGTCTCCTCTGGAAAGACAGGATAGCAGCAACTCGGGGGTGGGGTGGGGTGTGTGAACCAGCTAAGACATTAGCTTCACAATTAGAAGGGGATAAAGTATTTTCCCTCCCTCCAATACTTCAATAGCTCCTGTTTCTGCACAGCCCCCTTGCAAATGAAGTCTGTGTTTACCTGCCAGTAGCCAATCACAAGTCAGAAATACGCTGATCTCAACTTGCAGAGCTCAGAAATCCTGTGCCAAATTTGTTTTCGAACACATTTAACGCCTTAATAGCGCTCTGTTTGTAACCATAGGTTTGCTGTAATATCTCTTTTCTCCCATAGGCGTCTTTCTCTCCCTTTAGGTAAAACGATCGTTTCTCACTGAACTTGTAAATAAATAGTAACACGGTCTCTTTTCTTCCGTCCAGAAAACTCAGTGGCAGCCAAATCTGGTGGCTGTTTCCCCGGAACGGCCTGGGTGAACCTGGAGCAAGGAGGAACCAAACTGGTGAAGGACCTCCATCCTGGTGACAGGGTGCTGGCAGCCGATACGGAAGGGCACCTGCTTTACAGCGAATTCCTTGCCTTCCTGGACCAGGAAGAGGCCCGCATGCACAAGCTGTTCTACGTCATCGAGACCCGAAGGCCCCAGACACGGCTCTTGCTGACGGCGGCCCACCTCCTCTTTGTGGCCCCACCCCAGAACCGCTCTCAACCCCAGCCCATTTTTGCCAGCCGAGTACGGCCGGGACATCGCGTCTACGTGCTGGGCCAAGGGGGCCAGACACTGTTGGAGGCGGCCGTCCATCGGGTGTCCCTGCAAGAAGAGGCTTCGGGGGCTTACGCCCCACTTACCGCTCAGGGCACCATCCTCATTAATCAGGTGCTGGCTTCCTGCTACGCTGTCATTGAGGAGCATAGCTGGGCCCACTGGGCGTTTGCCCCTTTCCGCGTCGCCCACGCCCTCCTGGCCATGCTGTACCCTGGTGGTTTTTCCTCCCCTGCCCTCCTCCCAGCGATGGCACCCAACGAGGCTCCAGCCGGAGTCCACTGGTATTCCCGTCTCCTCTATCACGTTGGCCGCTGGGTCTTGGATTCTGAGATGATACACCCACTGGGGATGGCCAGCTGAGAGGGACTGTTCTCCAAACTCCGCTTTTGCCCGATGTAAGAATAAAATAATACACACCGGGGGGGGGGAATACTAAGATGAAGAAAGAACGAAAGGAAGAACAAAGGAAGGAAGGAAAGAAGGAAGAGCGAGAAAGACTTTAAATCAATAATAACAGTAGGACAGTCCAAAGTAGACTTTTAAAGAACAGGAAGAGCCCAGGAAAGCTTTTTTGTTTTAGTTTATAAATATATATAAATATATATTTTTATTTGATTTATATTTTTGTCTATTTGTTTTCTTGTTTTCGTTGTCCGTGTCTCCTGGATATTTATTTGTTTGGTATTTTAAAATAGATGTTTTAAAGAATATGAACCCGATTTGCAAGAGCCTTAAATAGTTTCTTTGATAATTTATTATCATGCGAACTGTACACTCACAGGGAGAAGAAAATTATTTTGCGAGGCCAAGCAAAACTGCACAGAGTTCTATTTTTCTATGTGTTCATGTCTGTCCAGATTCTCCAAAAGGAAGCCGCCAGTCCCTCTCATCTATACCTTGCTTTTCATTTTCCCAGCAGCGAGTCTCAGAACAAACAGCCGATAATCCTCTGTGGGAAGGGTGGGGAAGGGATCCGTAAATTATATTTTTATACACAGAATTGTAAATTCAATTTTTTTTAAAAAAGAGAGATCAATACTTAACAGTCACATTTCATTTTTTTTAAATAGTGTAAAATATGAGAATATATTATTTTAATTTAAATAGTATAAAATGTAGTATCATCTTCTGCATTATTTCTCTTGTCCTTAAACTATTTTGCTTTGTAAAAAAAGAATAAGAATAACAACGACCCCTTTTGTCCACATTCTTGGAACTGAAGACTGTTACACAACCTCATTCATTTGCAAAACTGTGGAGAGAAACTCTCTTATTTTCACCTTCAAAAATCAAGCAGAAGAAATTTATGAGAAAAAAGTATTTTTTAAAAAGCGCACATGCTGGCTATTCTGTGGCAATGGAGACTAGTTTGTACAGAGAGGGAGGGTAAAAGGATGTTTTGCATTAATAAACTGAGAAATAACTGCTGTCAATTTACTAAAATGTATTTTTTGAATATTTTGTAATAGTTTTAATAGTTTTATAGAAATAAAATGTGCCATGCACAGTCTGGTTAGTATATAATGACAAAGAATTCCTGGTGCATCACATTCTTTTTCTTCTTTAAAATGTTGTTTAGGGTTAGGCAATGTGAATTTCTAACATCAAGTCTTGTTAAGTTTTACTGACTGGTCGAATTTATCCCAATTTTATGGATTCCCAAAAATGGTGAGAAAGGAATGCAGAGGTACTACGGTGCCTGGAATTTAACACATTACGATCTCCAAAATGTTTCATTCTCTTGACAGTTGTTACAACAAATAATTTGACCTTAATAGTAACATAACATCATTCATTCAGAAGTTCAGTGTTTCTTAAAATGGTCAATTGAAGTTGGGCTGAATCCAGACTGATTTGTGTTTATAGCTGACCTATTGAAATACTTGTAACTTAAGTTCTATGTAAACAGCTCAAATACCACAGTTTTCAATGAGTCTGCTTTAAGTGTGAATCCAATTACAGTTGGACTGCCGTATTCATGCCCTCCCTGCAGATGCTGGAAACTGTGGATATTGTGAACCCTATATACAGGGATGTGGTGGCTCTGGGGGTTAAACCGCAGAAGCCTCTATGCTGCAAGGTCAGAAGACCAGCTGTCGTAAGATCGAATCCATGCGACGGAGTGAGCGCCCATCGCTTGTCCCAGCTCCTGCCAACCTAGCAGTTCCAAAGCATGTAAATGCAAGTAGATAAATAGGTACCACTTCAGTGGGAACGTAACGGTGTTCCATGTCTAGTTGTGCTGGCCACGTGACCACGGAAACTGTCTACGGACAAATGCTAGCTCTACGGCTTGGAGAAGGGGATGAGCACCACCCCCTAGAGTCAGACACGACTGGACTAAATGTCAAGGGGAACCTTTACCATTACTATATATAGGAGTCTTTCGTTCCCTCTAGTGGCCATTTCTGGTCATGCGTCTTTGAAAAAATGTATCTTGGGGTGTGTGTGTGTTAATTTAATATTTTCAGGCAGCAGATAAGTAAGTGAAACCACGGTACTGATCCCATGGATACTCTTCCTGTTTCCAAAGTCTGGATTCTGCCTCTTTTCACTTATGAATACCTGCCACTAAAGAAGAGACCATTGCTCTCTTTTAGGGTTTTCATATATGAAAAAATGTACAGTAGCTTGTAAAGGATACGCTTGGAGCTTGAAAATGCTAACTTTTGTTATTTTGGATTATGACTCCCAGAAACTAAGACAGCTTTACCTTTGCCTAGGGAGAAGTGAGCTACAGCTCACAAAGGTAAAGGTTCCCCTTGACAATTTGTCCAGTTGCGTCCAAATCCAACCTATAGAGCTAGCGTTTTGTCCGAAGACAATCTTCCGTGGTCATGTGGCCAGCACAACTAGACACAGAATGCCGTTACCTTCCCACCGAAGTGGTACCTATTTATCTACTTGCATTTTTACATGCTTTCAAACCGCTAGGTTGGCAGGAGCTGGGACAAGCGACGGAAGCTCACTCCGTCGCATGGATTTGATCTTATGACTGCAGGTCTCCTGACCTTGCAGCACAGAGGCTTCTGCGGTTTAACCCACAGCGCCACCACATCCCTACAGCTCACAAAAGCTTAGGCTAAAACAAAAATTGTCCGACTGGATCAAAATGTTTGCATGGAGTCTGGCCTTGCTGCTAGAATGAGGTGGATGCCTCCAGCGGCTGATTCAAGGTGTACCAAAAGGCTGACAAATGCTTTGTTATATCAATTGTATGTTTGTTGCCTGAGAGTGGAAAAGGCACAGTGGGGAAATTTCTGCTACAAAAGCTGAATTTGGGGATGGTGCTTTTTGATCCAAAGGTAGGCAGGTGCAGGATGCGATATACTATGCTACAATTACTCAGGCAATTGTGGGTCTGCCTGATTTCAAGGGCTAGGAGGGCCCAAACACCAAGTGAACCCTGTCCATTGAGATCACTGATTGGTTATACCTGACCTGGTAGAACTATAAAAATGCTTCCAGGTTTTCCTGGGGTTTGTCCAACATTCAAAATGGCAAACCCACCTACTTCAGTATTTCTCATGTCTTTGCAGGATTCTTCCCTGCCCTGAGTTCCTATTCTGGAAACGTGCTGTTTCATTTTCGTACACTGCCAGCCCTTGCCTTCCTAGGGTTATGTATCTTGACACTATACTTAATTTAATCATTTTCAAGGATGCCAAAACAATTGGCTGTCATTCTGAGCAAATCATCATTATTCCATCCTATCCCTCTACAGGGAGAAGGACTTGGTTGAAATAAAATAAAACAAAGTTGGACCTCGTATCCACAGGATCAGTATCTGGTGATTCACTTATCCACAGTCTGGAAAATATTAAAAATATTAAAATAAATATCCTAGAAATATGTGTTTCTAAATTAAGACTGGTCTAAGCTATGCTCTTATGTAGTGCCTGATCAGCTATAAAGCAATGAAATATTCATATTCATGTATTTCTAAATATGAGGTTACCAGAATTGACGACGAGTGGGACCCACAGACCATGCTATGTATAGTATTTGCTATTAAAAGAGCATTTGCTATAATCTGTGTTTTTTAAGCATCCACATAGGTGTGCTTGGAACTCATCCCCCATATATATGGGAGTCCTACTGTATCCAAAGAATCTGTCCCTGTATATTTGCTCCCATGGAATGTCAATAAGTCACTTACTGTCTCTTTTGCAAGAATTTGGAATGGCTTCAGCTACCAATTATATTATATTTGTACAGAGCTGGCATAGTTTCTGCTAAGTGGTTATATATATACAGGATATATAAGTGGTTATATATATACAGCCTCTGCAGCAATGCCAGGCTTCTGGATTTCTTTCAAGTGGAGAATGGGGAGGTGTATTCCGTGGGACGTCCAGCCTCCTTTGGGCCTATTAATGTCCTTCTCTGTTCACCCAGCGCTGTGTCAATATCATTAAGACTGTAAAGTTTCAGTATCTGGAATGCTGTAAAGACAGTTGCAATTATAAACTCTGAGTCGAGATTATGTACATTTCGGGGTGTGCGCCCTGATCTATAAAAACTTGGAAGTGATTGATCGTTCCTTTCCTAATGTCTCTGCAAACAGGAATCTTAGAGCTCTCTCATTATCAGCTACACTAGTGGTATAATCTTCCCAGCTGCCAATTTACCAGGCTTCTAAGAGTTATATCAAGAGGCGCCATAGGGCCCATAATCCAGATCAGTTTAGTGGGCTGCACTGTAGATGCTCGATCAGCAAGAATCCTACACCTAACATTAAATCATCACTAAAATCAGAAGTTGGCCAAGTCATGCTGGCTCAGACATTCAGACATATGTCGTCCAAAAAAACCCCACAACATTACCAAGCCTTAAACTGAATGATAAAAGATGACATTTCTCTGTGATAATTGATGTTGCTGCTAAGCAGAAATAGTCGGGCCATCTTTTGGGGTGGTTCTCCAAAGTTGACCATGGGGGGGGGACACATCTTGTCCCAGGAACTGTTAACCCCAAGAGCCAGCACTAGTTGTAGAGCAGAAGACAGCATTAATCCCATTGGGACTCTCACAGCCACTTTCTGGGGGAGCTAAACTGACCTGTCTGATGTCACCACAAGTAATCCCATTCCAGGCCATCATGTGAACCACAATGCCAAAATGGCATGCAAATTTCAATTCTTCATTTTTTTTAAAAAAGCAAGGCGTGCTGCTTATATACCACCCCATAGCACTTAAAGCACTCTCTGGGCGGTTCACAGTGTAATTATGCAGGCAATGCATTGTCTCCTCAGTGAGCTGGGTGCCCATTATACTGAACCTGGAAGGATGGACAGCTGAGTGAACCTTGAGCCAGCTACTGGGATTGAACTCAGGTCATGAGCAGAGTTTTGACTGCAGTCCTGCAGTTTAACCACTGCACCACGAGGATCCTTCAAAATGCTTCATATTCCTGTGAAATATTTTGTTATTTAGTTCATTTGTACCCTGCTTTCCTCCCACAACTGGAATCCCATGACAACATACAACAAGATTAAATGAAAGTTAAGGCAAAAAAAAAAATCAAAATAATAAGATTAAGATGCAATAGAACCTATTATAATAGTAAAAGGCTTTCAGATTTCCAAAAAGTCATTTAAAAGCACAAAATGAGTTGGGTAAAATCCAGTTGTAGGT